GGGCGCGGGGGGGGCTTTCCCCGGTGTCCGGCCCGATCCCCGCCCGGGGACATACCGGCGACCCGGGGGTGGGCCGCCGCAGCGGGAACTGCGGCCGGTTCCAACGCCCGCCATAAACCCCACACGCGCGGGGGGGCCACGGCCGCAGCGGAAAGGCCGGTGAGGAACACACACGCAGACGGAGAGAGGCTGGGCGCTCGCCACGCACTCGCCAAAGCCATTTAATGCATCCCCTGTACAACACCGGGCCGCCGCCGCGCTGACCGTCACAGAAAAGCTTCGAGAAAGGACTCCGGGATCGCTGGGCAGAGCCCCTCACCCGGCTGCCCGATGGACGTGGCCACTGCTGCGGACTGCGGAGGGGCCAGAGCAGCGCAGCCCCCGCACCCGCACTCAGATCTGCCCCGCTCTTCTCACACATTCACGCTGCAGAGGGCAGGTCACTCGCCAGCGGGCCACCCGGAGGCAGCCAGGCACCTGCCAGCTCATCTGTGGGAGGCGTCGCGCAGGGGCAGCATTTAGACCACAAACTGAGAAACAACCACGTAGACACAGTGCAGGAGCTGAGCTGCACGTTCCACGGGGCTCGGCAGCCAGGCCTCCACCAGGCTGGGGGCAGCCAGACCCGCACGCCGAACGCTCACCGGCGTCTGCTCACCAGCGAGGCAGTTTTGCTCTTCAGAGCTGCACAAGAAGGGCAGAGATGCTGTACAGCACGCAACCTCCAGCAGCTTTGCAGCGGCAGCCTGGTCAAACAGAGATTTCCAGCATCAAGTCACCATAAGATTTCCCTAAAAGCAAATATCAACTTCAAAGAGCCAAACTTGGTGTTAAAAAAGCCAGTCTTCTTGAGCCCAACAGCTGCCTACTTGTGGAAAAAAGACGATCTACAACAAAAATACATCAAAAAGCATCTTTGATGTTTTTCAGCTGCCGGACAGCCAGGTCGACCGGGAGGTTGAATTTCAAGTTGCTCAGGCGACTGAGGATGTTGAGTGCACTCTCAAAGCCTGTGTTTGCCATGTAGCTCCATGGCTGGTAGTGGGACTGTACCAGAGCTCCAGATTTGCAGATCAGATTCACCCAGGAGACCAGGCGCTGCTCGTTCAGTGCCATACACACCAGAGCTTTCAGTTCAGAGTCTGCACTGCGCTTGAAGGGGTCATGCTCTGTGAGAACAGTGTGAATTGCTGTCAGCAGGCTCTGTTTGGGCGTAATGGCCACTCCTCCTGTCACAGGCAAGGCAAAGGACTGGGAGAGCTTGCGAGCCGGGGATTCCACGAAGGCTTGTCCGTTCTTAGTGTTGTAATACTTCACAAAGAGCTCCCAGGGGTGCATGGTCTGCGGCGATGAGGTGAACGCAGGAATCAAGCACGCGATGGGTGCCAGTACCAGGCTCATTCCTTGAGAAGAGGCATAGAGCCCGTGAGCCATCAGGTCTCGCAAAGCAATGGTCAACTCCTTCCGCACAGCTAGAGTCAGCTCATCTCTGCCACCTAAGGGAATGTCCTGCAGATCGGAGGAACTAATAACATGGTCTTCCTGCTGGTGTTTCATAGCTAGCTGCCTCACCCGCTCCACTGACAACTCCAGTTTCTTAATTAAGGGGGAATAGTCCTTGTTGGCTTGGTCCTTTTGCCAGAGGGTGCGAGGAATCTGACCAGTAGCACAACCAAACTGACTGACAGCAAATATTTGTAGCACAGCAAGCATGCGGCGCATGAGGTGCAGGCCCGTTTCTCGCATCCTTCTGGCATCTTCTGGGTTCACTGATCAGGTTAAAAAAGAGAAAAAAGTACTCTTATTAAGGAATCAACAGCTCTGCTCTTTCCTGCACACAAAGGGAGCACAAATGTCTGCTCCTCCTCCGCCACAGATTCTCCTCCTCTTTGGGAGCTTTTGTCACTAGGGCTGACGCTACTTTTTCTAGTTTCACAGCACTGAAGCCAACCAGAAAAGCAAACATTTGCATGGCCTGTTCTCGACAGCAGTTTCCTAGTGGGCACATACATAATGAGGAAAGATCATTCTTTAGACACAACGATACCACATGGGTAATTAGGAGATACCAAAACCTCTGTTAAGGGAGATCATTGCCTGGTTTCAAGAACGGCCTTGTCTCAGCACGCTAAAAGACACTGCTTACTCCCAATGCCATTATTAAATTCAGTTTTCAAGAGTAGCCACACTGGGCAACACCCAAAGTCCATCCAGGCCGATATTCCATCTCTGACTAGCGGCAGATGCCAACACATTCCTATGGTAAGTAGACAAGTCTCAAATAATAAAAACCACTGGATCCATCCACCTCACAGAGCTAAGAACTCAAAGAGCACCAATTACAGTGCAGCCCAACAGTGCATAGAAGACGAGGCTGCTCCAGTGTGTCTGCATGTGGCACCTAGTATCAGAAGTCCCTTCTACTCCTGATCTCAGCTGACGACCCTGTGCCACACGTTCAGGTTCTGTGACTACTCTAATGATCCCAAGGAGGCAAAGGAACTGGACACAGGCCTTCTGCCAGTGGGACTGGGAACGAACGGAAAACAACCGCCAGGAAAAAAGCAAAGCAGCAAAGCACGACTGGATGCTGGTTCATGCTTGCCGAGCCTCTCACGAGTGATGGCAGGAGCAGTGCCGGAAGCTCCGAGCCAAGGTGTGCCCACCTCTGCTTCCAGAAGGCCGTGTGTTCGGTTTGCAGGAGCCACCGCCATCTTTTCTGCCTGCGCATTCACAGTGTCCATCTTCTGCCTTACCAGAGCTTCCAACTTCATCTAGAACAAGAATTTCACAGTATTATTTCACACTTGTGAATTTAAGCTGCGTATCCCAAGCATTAAGGTCAATACTCCTTAGACCTCTCTGCACCCTTTTTGTCAGTCTCTTGTTCTTCCCACCATCAGTTCAGAGACATTTGTACTTCCCCATGACCCAGAAACCCTTCCTGTATCCTCTTGACAGAATGGGTGACCTCCTGCTTTATAACTTTGTCGGGAAATTACAAAGCAATTCAATCTGCTCATCTAAGAACTCAGCACTGACCCTGAATGAAGTTGATGAACATTTCAAGGTCCCTTATCTGTGTCTTCAGTTGTTCCACCAGCTGCTCCTTCACCCTGGCTGGATTAACAATCTGTGCTATGGCAGCATCCACACGCTGTCGCAATTCCTCTGGAGAGAGCGTCGCAACATCTTCACTCAAGTCCATGTCCAGCTTCTTTATCAACTCATTTATAATCATCTGCAAAACATGAGTTAGCAGCATGATCTCGCCGTGCGGCATGGCTGCCCACGAGCTTCAAAACTTTCCTTTACCCATTCACTGCTTTGGAAAGAAGCCACCTTTGCCGCACACAGAAAATTGTGAGAGAAGACACTGGACAGGTTTACACATGCAGATGAATTACTGATACTCCGGCGAGAAGTAAGGACAGACCAACTCCCACAGCCCACAAGAGGCTCACAAACGCTAAGAGGAACTACAAGCAGAAGGACGCTGCAGCCTTACCCGTTGTCTTTCCATAACCACAGACTGTGGCAGGGAATCATAGCTGCCCTCCTGGTAGGCAAACGTCTCCAGGTCATCCAGCTGCGTCTTGAGCTGCAGGATCAGCTCTCTCTGCTTCTCCTTCTGGACCTCGATTTGCTCCTGCTTCTCTTGCTCGCTCTGAGGAAGAGTTAAGGGTAAGATGGGGATTTGCCGTCACAGCCGTGGCCCGGCGAGCAGGGCCGAGCTACCGACGCGACGCTGTGCGCCCCGCGCGAGGCGCCCCTGCTGTAGCGGGGGTTGGACTGGGTGGTCTCCAGAGGCCCCCCGACCCCCCCCAGCCTGTCACTGTGCGCGGA